TATATATATATATATATATATATATAAACATAAACATATAAACGTGAAGCTTCCAGAAAGGGAGACCCATGCCCACCATTGATGGGGTGACAGACCAATCGTGATTGCAACTTTGGCTTTTTGAGAAAGTGAAATCTCAGCTGCTACTAATGTCAGGCAATAGAGATTTCATGGAGAACTTTCTGGTGAGACAGCTCCCCAAGTTTCCATCCCCTTCTCTCATTCAGCTCTTTGACTCTTCAACAATTACTTTCCAGAGCCAACAGTATGCTCCAGTTTCTCCACTTAACCATATTTCAGAAATACTGTGTCGTTTCATCATTTTCTTCATAGTCAAAAATATGTGCATTTATGTAGTTCATATGCATAGAGTTGTTTCCTGGTACCACTGGAATGAAAGAAAGAACATCTGCATATGTATGAGTTTTTTTCCTTTAAATCTTCTGAGGCTAAGGTTCCAGACTGAAACGCATATGTTCTTGTTGCATATTGCCACGAGAGGTTGTGTCTGGTTGTAGTTAAGAATGTGTGAGTTTATCTGGGCATGGTGGTGCACACCTGTAATCCCAGTGACTCAGGAGACTGAGGCAGGAGAATGGCAAGTTTGAGGCCTGCCTCAAACTTGGTGGGACCATCTCAAAACCTAAAAATGAAGCTGGGCGCAATGGTTCATGCCTCTAATACCAGGGCTGAGGCAGGAAGATCACAAGTTCAAAGCCAGCCTCAGCAACTGCAAGGCTGCTAAACAACTCAGTGAGACCCTGTCTCTAAATAAGTTACCAAATATGACTGAGGATGTGGTTCAGTGGTCAAGTGCCCTTGAGTACTGGGGAGTACCCCCCAATAGAAAAGAAAACTTAAAATATATAAAGGGCTGGAAACAGCCCTGGGCTCCATTCCCAGTACCAAAAAAAGAAAATTCTGGATGTATAAGGAGATATATAATATATATATATATACACACATACATACACACACACACACATACATTTTTCTACTAATTAGCAGAGTTTTTTAAGGGATATCATATATTGATATGAAAATACCATTCTGAGATAGGAAAATTACAAAATTACACATATATATATTCACACATCTCTGTGTATGTAAAACATATACCTGGGTATATGGGTGAATATAAAAACAGACATTCACAGCAGAGATCTTATACCTTTCATTCTCCAATTTTAGCAACGAGTTAGGCAGAAGCACAAAAATACAAAACTCACTGGTTGATATAAAGAGAGTTGGCCATTGCATTTAGTAGACTTTATATTTCTGTTTGGAATGTGTTTCTGGCAGATGGGAAAATTGAGTTTACTTGTTCAATGTGAGGACCTAATTTTCCTGCAAGTATTTTTGGAGGAGACTAGGATTTTCTTTGCTGTGATATGCGACCTTATGGAGGTTGTGGATTGTAGTTTGGGTGAGGGACCAAGGATACATCAAGTAGCTCTCAGAATGACTCCAAAACTCAGCAGAGTAGATGAAAAATCCATTTTTTTCCCACTAGCTTTTCTGTGTCTCTTGGGAGTCCCTGAGTCCCTTGATACCCCTAATGAGGAAAGGGGCAGAAAACTATGGTGACCATAGGGCAGTAAGGGGCTGAAGTAAGAAGGGAAAAGTCTGCAGGGATGGACATCAGGGTAGGGAGGTGAGGGTGTTGAAGAGGCACAGATCAAGGGATTTCTGGGATGTGAAGGGAAGATCAAGGAAATTGAAGGAAGAGGAGGAAAGGTCTGATGGGACAGGAGAGACCTCAGAGGAGCCAGTCTAATGAGGTCTCCAGTTTCCCAGTGCAGTTTCATCTTATCCTTGGTGAAGTCTGCTACGTATGGAGACAGGAAAGAATAGGTACCCTTTCAGTATCAACAAGTTCCCTATTAGTGTTGTATTGCTGTCTTTTCTCTATGTGTTCTGTAAGTATTTTCTTTACATATTTAGGTGCTCTAATACTTAGTGCAGATATATCTACAGTTTTTATATGCCCCGATGAATCGACACTTTGCCATTGTCTAGTAACATTATTTTTATATTTATATAGTCAAAACCTTTTTCTTTTTTCCTTCTTTCCTCCTTTTCTCCTTCTTTCTTCTATTCCTCCCTCCCTTCCTCTTTCCTCTTTCCTTCCTTTCTTTTTGGAATTGAACCCCAGGATTCTCTACTGCTGAGCTACATCTCCAGCCCTTTTTACTTTTTATTTTGAGACAGCATCTCATTCTCTTGCCTCAGCCTTCTTGAGTCACTGGGATTACAGGAGTGCACCACCATACCCAGCTAAAACCTTTTCTGATCTCTA